TTGGGAACCAAGCCTGGGATGTCGTCACTACAGTGAGAAAACTGACCAGCTGGTTAACTCCTTTGTAAGAGATGGACGGCACGTATTTTTCGGTCAAAAGGGCTGACAAGCCCGAAAAGGCAAGTTTTTCAGTGTTGTTGTTTGGTTGGACCGGGTCGAGACCCATAAGGTTTTGGAGTCGTCTCAGGAACCCCTGATGAGGCTGTTTGATCGATGCGATCTCGAAATCTGGGATTACCCAAACGGGATGGACTGCGGACCCAAGGATGGCACAGATCCCTGACAGACCCTGACTTTTTGTGGCTGGACTGGACGTTGTCAACAGCGGTCAACCATTGACCTGCTGTTCTTGGTAGGCTAGAGAACCAATGCAATTTAGCCAGGGCTACGGCAAGTCTTTTGCCGAAGTCGAAGGGGGAGGAATTGAGAAAGAGGCGCTTCCGAAGCGAACGTCGCCGGGGTTCAGTTAGCTTGCCAGGTCTTGTGTCGCTTTATACGGTGCCATCCATGCGAGTTGTGTTGATCTCTAGCCCGAGCGTCGCTGGGCAGTGGCTAGAGAGCAAGGAATGCAGAGAAAGTAAAGAGCGGCGAGACTGAGTGCAGAGTCAATGGGTATGATGCAAGAGCCAAGTGAGACTGACAGCTGCCACTGGGCATAGAAAGTCAATCTGGATCGACGGCAAGGGAAGACGCTATGAGCATGCAAAAGCACATAAGGATTGATGAGTAATTCGGATCAGACTTCGTCAAGCCGCAGATCAACGAGTTGTTTCTCGTTACAGTGAACTTGCACCGTACTTTTCATCCCATTGAATATCATTTACGGGGAAACTGACATGTCCAAAAAAACAAGCTCTAAATTTTTCGGGACTGGATCATCTGGGGAGGATATGAGAGGACCAGAGCCACGGGTTCAGTTAATCTATCGGACCCTTCAACCGGGAGGACTAACTCCCGCCCACAATACAAGCACTGGCGATAGATTACTTTTTAATTAACTGACCTACAGGCCACTGAGCCATGCGCGACACACAGGCGCTAGAGCATTTCAGACTCTCAGCCTCCCAGCAGCCACGCTCGGTTCCTGGCGAGCTTAATGCTACGACTCGTACGAGGCAATGCAACCCAGCGCCATTCTTTTTCGCACTGGTGCAACGCATGCTTTGACAGCTCTATCCTGTAGGATGAGGTTGAGCTTTCCATCGGATCGGATGGCACTTGACGAAAGGTTCAACGTCTTCCTATCGCCCAAAGTCCCAGTGCTCTCTCTTGTCAGCATCATCATCCTAGCATAAATCTTCTTCGGCGTCGCAGAGCCCTCGAAACCAGCTCACCGTCGTCCTGTTCCCCTCTCATAGGATACAGTCCCTAAAACCCCGAGAGCATCATGTCGCAAGCCCCCCTCTCGTGGTAGCCGAAGCTGGGGGAACAAGCTAGACAGAAAGGATCTGAATGGTGGACAATTGCCGGATGCCCAAGTCAACCTCATGCCGCTTCCAAGTGGAGGCCCCATGATGGTGGATTCCATCTCACGATGCCGCGTTTTAAAGCGTGCCGGGGGGGTTTTAGGGTGCTGGAGAAGACTTCTTCCCTCGTCTTCTTCATCGCTTCGGCCCCGAAAGCAGAGAATTATTGGAAAGCTACAGGGATGTGCTACGCTCGGCCCGGGGGATGTTAGGGGGACGTTGGGGGACGCTAATCCCTGAATGGCCCTTTGGCACATCACTGTTGCGCAGAGACCCCTTTCCTCGAATCCCTTCGCCTCCAGATGATCCATGCTGTTGGATTTTCTCCCCATTCAAACCATTCTCCTTTCGTCATTTTGGCTACTTTTTGACCGGGGGCTCTAACTTAACTCTCTCGCTGAGCTCGCTTCAAGCCGTCACCGCCCTGGCCTAAACCGCTTGCAATCACCGTAACACCCTCAAGAAGGCAGCGGTTGGGCGCATGCAGAATCCGAAGCAACCATGAGTTGGCAGCAGGGCACCTCCATGTCAATTCGGCCGTGTTCCCGAACAGAAGAGACTGGACGGAGGCGGCCATCCGAACCCCCATGCTCCCTGGGTGAATCCTCGATCCAGGCGACATGAGACAAACTGTGCGTGTGAGGCCAGTTGGGACGACACTTTGCAGCACGCGGACGACTTGGACCACTGTGATGGCCGTGACGTCCTTGCCGCACCATGGCTATTTCATCCCATTGCTCTGGTATGATCGTCGCTAAGGGGGTGGTCGGGGCCATGAGTAGGACTTTGCGGCACGTTGCGACTTCCACCTAGGCATACTCTCCCACGAGGCGGCGTTTACTGATGGCTGAGCAAGACAGAAAGCAGGTAGAGCAGGCTTGCCTTCTCGGCTGCGATCCCATGTATGAGAAAGTGGGAACGGCATCTAGAAGGGATGGGAAGATGCCCATCATGGGTTGTCATCGTCGCAGATTGTCTCGCCTTGCCCCTTTCTTGCCTATGCGCGCAGCAAGAGAGCCGTGGGATCATGGAAACAACTCTCATCTGACATCGGACACTCTCAGATCTATAAAATATTGATGATCCCGCCTGTCATCCCAACTCTCTTTTCTTCCCTCCTCATCCAGCAACCAACAAACATCCTTCTCTACTCTTCAATCTTTCAGTTCTGTGAACTTTTTTACGTTCTCGACACTCTTTCTTGTCCTGATCCAACTACACACCGCTAGCCGGTCTATTACAATCTTTTTCAACTTTTAACTTATAAACTCTGTTCGATTCTTCGACACCCAGTAACCGTTGCTTCAATCAACCCTTCACAACCTCAAATCAGCAAACATGTCTTACTCCAAGATCCTTCTCATCTCCGCCGTTCTGGCCGCTGTCGAAGCCCGCTTCGGCCAGGAGCAGGTCCCCGTCCAAGCCGTCTCTTCTCTGCAGGCTGGCAACCCCGGTGAAGCCGCCACCCTCGCCGGAGGTATCCCGGGTGTTCTCCTCGCTGCCGCCGACCCTTGCGACAAGCTGACCCTCGCCGACAAGATTGCCGCCCTCGGTACCGGCGCCGACGTTCTCGAGGCTGCTAAGGGTGTCGTTGCCGCCGAGCAGAACTTCAACCCCTTCGTCGTCAGCGTCCCCAGCATCTGCGGTGATGCCTCTCTCCCCGCCACCGAGGCCCTCCGCGGCATCGTGCCCCTCGTCGACCCGGCCGTCACCGGATCCGATGCCGAGAACGCCAACTCGGCCACTTCTCTCCAGAACCCCTTTGACGCCACTGGTCTGTCTGTCGCCGAGGTGATGCAGGCTCAGGGCTTCTCCAACTTCACCATCAAGGGCCAGGCTGCTGGTGGTGCTGCTGCTGGAGGCAATGCCAACGCCGGCAACAACAACGGCAATGCCAACACTGGTAATGCCAACACCGGCAACGCCAACAACAATATCAACAACCAGAACAACGGCAACAAGAACAACAACAACAATGCCAACACCGGAAATGCCAACGCTGGAAGCTCCTGCGGCGGTGCCGCCAGCGGGAACGCCGGCGCGAGCAACAACACCGGTAATGCCAACACTGGTAACGCGAACAACAACAACAACCAGAACAACAACCAGAACCAGAACACCGGCAACAACAACGCCAACAACGGCAATGCCAACACTGGAAACGCCGGCAACGCCAACAACGGTGGAGCTGCCACCGGTGCCGCTGACTTCGGAAAGTGCACTCCCACCATTGACTTCCAGACCGGCCGTGCTGGCCGCAAGGCCGACGAGGGAACTTTCCTGCCCACCGACGCTCTCGTTGCCCAGGGCCAGCAGGATGCCCTCAACCCCAACATCATCATCAACCGCGTCTGCGACCAGCTCACCAACGTCTGCGAGGCCAACGATGCTGCCAAGACCCAGTGCCTGGACGCCAAGGCTCAGATCCTGGCCTCCGGTGACAAGAGCGCTGCTGTTGCTACCACCTTCAACGGTCTCCTCGGATTCTAAGTGGAGAGGCAGCTGGGTGGACTGAAGGAGTCCTGAGGGGATTTGTTTTGTTTGTCTTTATAATTTTCATTCCGGTCTAAAAATACCGAGGAGCATGGCATATGTATCTTACGACAAAAGGGACTCTGGAGCTTGATTTCACATGGCTGGGTTTGGCTGTCTTTGGACATGGTAGCTGGGAGTTCACGAGTAGGATGTTTGAATAAACTGGCTTGCCCGAACCATTGTCCCACCTTATGGAATGTACTCGCTGCGAAATAACTTCTGTCAAGCATTCAAGCAGCTCGATATTTGTTGTTGACCCCTTAAGCTCCATGCATCATGGCTTATGTGAGGTGCTGGGTTGAAGAGAGCTCTCTGGACTTTTAAACATTCGGTGAAGCTCGGTGAGATTAAGCTTCAGCGGGCCCACGTGCCAAGCGAGATGAAGAAGCACCGGCTCTGCAGACGATGCCCCTTTAGCGCGAAATTTTGTTGTCTCCTTTGACGAATGACTCGGCTTTGTCAAGTGGCTCTTACCCACCCCTGACCCCCTCTCACCGACAATTTGTGAGCTGTGAAAAGGTTGAAAGGTTCCAAATGTTGTGTTGACGGCAAGGTGTTTGACAGGCGTTTTGTGTGGACTTTTACTACTGTTTCCTCTCAGGTAGTTGCCAAGGGAAAGGTTGCGTGCCTTGATTAAGAGTTGAACATCACAAACTTAAGTCGGCCTTGGCTGCGCAGATCCATCGAAATTGGCAATCGCGATTTGGAAAGTTTAATCTATTTGCCGGGTCGGCGTCCAACGGTATTGACGACCTCCTTGTTGAGATGTCGACACCAACGATGCCACAATCCGCGACGATTTCTAGTCAACGCGACCAGGATGAAGACAATTCATCCAGGAGCGGACCCCGGTCAATTTTACCACCTCTAAACTTCATAACGCTGCATTACGCCTACTTTATCGGCACGACCCTCCTCGCATCGGCAATTTTCTACGCCTCATCAAATCCACACGGCAGCATTAGCTATGTCGACTCGCTTTTCCTCGTCATCTCCGCCATGACGGAGGCCGGGCTCAACACAGTCAACCTCAGCGAAATGACTGTGTGGCAGCAGGTGATGCTATGGCTGCTTATCATTATCGGTAGCTCTGTTTGGGTTTCGATATGGACGGTCGTGGCGAGGAAGCATGTCTTTGAAAAGAGCCTGCGGGAGGACGCACGCGCCCAGAAAGAAGGGAGCTGGCATGATGGGGGCCTGCCAGTGTCCAATAACAGTATTGCTGCGGCTCAAGAGAAAGGAGCTGCAAGTGGCACCGGCTTGATCGGCGGAGAGACGTTTTCTCAACCTCAAGCCGAGGGTAATCACATTACCATTGAAACCAGTGGAAACATCACTCGCCGTTCAACACCTTCGACCCTCTCAGACAAGATGTCTACTCGACCTTGGCTGTCCTTTCTCAGCGCTTCCAAAGAGGGCCGCGGCTCCCAGTTCCACTCCCTTACGGGGCCCGAACGCTCCCGTCTAGGAGGCCTTGAATACCGGGCCCTTCACCTCTTGTCTATCGTGGTCCCATTGTATTCTGTGCTTTGGCAAGTACTAGGAAGTCTTGCTCTCGGAGCCTGGATCGCAAACAATATGCCCACAGTCGCAACATCCAATGGTGCAAACCCGTGGTGGGCCGGCATATTCTTCGCCGTCTCAGCATTCAACAACTCGGGAATGTCATTACTGGACGCTAACGTAGTGCCCTTCCAGCAGGCATATTTCGTGCTCATAACCATGGGCCTCCTCATTCTCGCGGGTAACACGGCCTATCCGCTATTTCTGAGGCTCATCTTCTGGGCTGCGTTGAAGCTACTTCGAGTGACGACCGCTGAGGGAATGTTGGTGGAGCTAAAGAACACATTGGAGTTCATACTGAAGTACCCACGTCGAGTTTATACTAATCTTTTCCCGTCACGACCGACGTGGTGGCTCTTCTTTATGGTCCTCATGACAAATGGTATTGACTGGATGGCATTTGAGGTTCTCAATATCGGTAACCCGGTCATTGAAGCTATTCCTGCTGGGGCTAGGGTTCTAGACGGCTTATTTCAAGCGTTAGGTATGTCACTCTTCACGCTCCAGTAGGAAAAGGACAATCACTGATTGAGTTGTAGCTGTTCGCTCTGGAGGCTTCTACGTCATACCAATAGCCTCTGCCTATCCGGGACTGCAGGTACTGTATGTCATCATGATGTACATCTCCGTGTATCCCGTGGTGATTACTATGCGACACTCCAACATCTACGAAGAGCGGTCTCTAGGGATCTATGAAAATGATAAGACATCTCCAGTCTATCTCTATTCGGACAAGAACAGGGACCCTAGCAGTACCGGTATTTTGACACATTTTCTACGAGAAAATCTAAGCTTTGCTGGTGTCGGTGCTGCAAAAAGCGAGAAGAGAGGTAGCGGATTTGAAACTCGAATGAGTTTCGTGAACCAGCAAATCCGTGGTCAACTCGCACATGATCTGTGGCTTCTTGCACTGGCTGTTCTCATTATCGTAACTATAGAGACTTCACACTTTCTGGAAGATCCCGTCCACTTTTCGGTCTTCAATGTCATTTTTGAAGTGGTATCGGGCTACGGCTGTGTTGGCATATCTGTTGGACTTCCTAAAGATGCCATGAGTTTCTCTGGAGGGTGGCATCCCGGGAGCAAACTAGTCTTATGTCTCGTTATGTTGAGAGGGCGTCATCGAGGTTTACCTGTGGCTTTGGACAGGGCTGTGCGATTGCCTGGACAGAGGCTATTGGAGGAGGAAGAGGAAAATTGGAGACTGAGAGGGCCTAGGAACAGGCATGAGGTGGAGTGAATGGCTGCAAAAGGGAGAAGCTATGCATGTTACACGCATACTTTATCTGCAGAGGAATAGTAAAAAATCGGAGAGACCGTCGAAAGGACTTTCATCCTTGTCAGCCTTGCGCAGGCGTACTTGTACATTTAAACTTGCAAAGGAACCTTTGATACAGGGTTTGGAACGCTCCTTAAGGCCGTAATTCTGTGAAACTTCAGGGTGAAGCACATAGTCATAGGTCGTTTGTATACAGCACTTCCAAAGGCTTGGTGGTTGTACACGACTACCTTACATTACCCACGTCTCTGAAGTACCGACTCAAGTGAAACCCCAGTTGCCTTCCACCTCAACTTTGCGTGAGAATAGTCTACGTCCCCGCGGTCGCATTCCCCTTGAAGCTGAAGGGATACACGAGGAGCTACCGGAGAGACACACTTCGGGATGCACGACGCCACAGAGGCCATGCATGCTAGGAACGGTTAAGCAAAGACGTAATGTCGCAGCCACATGACCATCACCAAGACACAGCTGAAATACCTATCTAGCAAGGAAAGGGGGCCTGCAAAAGAACAACCTCGACTCACAAGGAGACCTTTGAGAAGTACTGGGTAGAGCCGTTGAATTGGGACGCCTCTGTCGAAACTGTTTCTTTAATACTTGTCATCAGACAAAAAACTAAAGCCAGAGAACTTAGTGCATCTTAAGGACCATATCAGTTGCTGCCCAAGATGTATCATTGAGATGTTGACACGCCAAAGATTCCCTCGGGCAGCATTCGTCAGCGCCCCCCATTTTCGTCCCGGTCAAACGGCTCTGACCAGCAAAATTGGCTCAGGTGGCTGCCACGCTTTGGACGCCACTTAAGCCCTCCATTTTACGTCTTTCTGGTCTAAATAGAAGACCCAGGAATGTAAGATAGGTACTAAGGTTTGGAATGAAAGAACGTCCGAGTTGCGACATCACTAGCACACCCTGCCTTGGGCGATCAGATCAATACGTTGTGTGCCTTGGCCGTAGTATTGAGTGCTTGCTTCTTCTTCTTCTTGATTTTGCTAATTCTACGGTTTTCAGTATGGTGTTGGCACGTCCACGAGCACAACCTCGGGGGTCATACTCTGAGCTAGAAACAACCCAAACCTCTAGGATTAAGCTTCTCAGGCAAGAGGGTGAAGATTGACATGTAACGCTATAAGTTTCTGATAGACCGGACATGTCGCAAGATACTATCATTCTTACTACTGTGAATGGCCACCAGACTGGCCAGGCTATCGACCTTAGTTGCGTTAAAGGCATCCATCATCTTACCAAAATACTGGTATGCGTACGCAAGACGAAGTTACATTACTTGCTCCTTATGGTCATCAAAGAAATACATAATAAGCACGCCCTCAGAGAATGCGCCTCTGAATCAAGACAAGCTGTGTCATGGACCAATGAGGAACAGAGCGCTTCTCAAGAACGACGGTCAGTCCGTTTTCGAACGTTACAGCATTCCGTTAGGCACTACTGTTGTCAACGGCACAATGCTCATAATTGGCTAGAGATTAATGAATGTGGAGGCCAATGTCCTAAGGTGCCTCACGTTTGATGCAAAGGCGGACTGAGTAGACGGAGGGGACACCAGGAGGAGAGTGGCTTGGCATAAGGTTGGTACCCAATCAGTCCACCTCCTTGTAAGCTCGGACAAAGCAAATAGGTCTTGAAAGAAATCTAAATGGACTTTTTATTTTCTCCATTGCTTGCGCATTGGCATGAATACTGTGCAGACCGGCGGTTCGTGGTTTTTGGAGGCTCAATTACCTTACGTTATCGCCACGTTGTCTTCATGTTGGAAACAGTCATAAATACTCTGAAGTCCGCTTTAGCAATTGAAGTTGGTTCTCCATCTATCGAGCTCTCAATTGAACCGCTATATCGAAAAAACAGCGGACTTCATCATTCGGAACAGAACCATCACGCATATACCTGCAGCGGCCATCATTCAAGAATATCGTGAGTCTTGTACTCGTCTTCGAAATTTTAGCTCACTCGAAAGTTTTTCTTCTATGAAGATAGAAGTTGTAGCTGCTTTTGGCTTAATGGACCCATCTCTAATAGGCTCAACTCCAGGACCCAGTTCTCATTACCGTTTTAAAGCAGAACTCGATGAAAATACTTCGAAAAATCCTTGCCCATCGAAAGTTGGATGACACTGTCTTTGTAGTAGCGAGGGCCGCGGTCTGTCCTATCGTTGTTCTCGATAGCCACGCGCTAACCTTGTCATCGACGATTCACCGAGTAACTACCTTGGTGTTGTGTTTCGATATGGTCACGGAGTTTTGGAACGGTTTTCGAATGTCAAAAGGCGGCGATAGAATCCGTGTTGATACTCAAACGGGACTCTATTACGCTTCGGCTATATGGATTGCGGTCTTCGAGAATGACGATTCTCTTTGGATTTTTAAAATCATCCAGATTTTGGTGCTTTTGGGCGACGTGTTTCAGCAAAAGCAGACTGGGACCACTCATGGAGCATCGATCATGGTACTGTTTCTATTTATGAATCATCATATACTTGCTCAACTGGTAAGTATTCTGGTCGGTGGAACCTTGCCATCATAAACAAGATGCTGACGTTCAAGCAGAATGATAGTCCTGGAGACTCATCTCTCTCGGATCTGCCTCGAAGAGATGTCCTTTTCGAGTTGTGCAAGTCCAACACAACACAAGAAGCTACTGGTGAGCGGCCTGCTTAACTTCCCTTCTACCTCTAACTGTGAACTTGATGTTTACCTCTTCCTGCTATGATGGTTTTGCGTATCCAATCAAGCCGTCTTTGTTTTCCCGCCTGGGGTCGAGCTTTCAAAGCAGACTGTGCTAACTCAACCTCTAGGAGACAAGCGTGCAAGTGAGGGCTGGGCTCGTTCAGAAATCACATCTCTGATATCAACAATTGTAACGCCCCTTGTGGGACCGGCTGTGGGGGCATTCTGGGGCTCAATCTTCGCCTTTGCGAGCCCCAAAATTCTGCAGAAGATTTGTCAAGGGTTGAGAGATTGGCAGATGTCTAGACCAGCGACCTCAGGAGCCCGTAGGGTAGTGGGCTCCGCGCGAACAAGTGTACCACCCAGCCCTTCACAGATGGAAGCCGGCACTCGGATTATAGCTACGCAAAACATTCATCCCAGCATACACGTCCTCCCACCGCCTGCAACGGCAAGTCGCTCACATCTCATAATGCGGTTCAGAAGCTAATATCCGAGGTACCAGATCAGGTCTTCGAGGAGCCGCACTTTCTATGGCCGCTGGTAAGCGAGAGGTTAATATTACAGCTGAGCATGAGCGGCGCGTCGGATTTGGCCATATATCGGTTATTTTGAGACGAAAATTAGTCCTGTTTTGATCTCCTTAGATGATGTGAGAGATCATTAAGTTGTTCTTTGCCGATGCATCACTCCCGATCTACGCAAACAATATTTTCTGAGCTGGAAAACATTCGCTGGCCACCCTCAGACTTAGGTAGATCAAGGATTGTTCATTCAATGCATGCATTCATTTTGTCCCCTCGTCCAACGACTCTGGTCATTCGGCCAAATATGACATTACTATCTGTAATGCTCCATATTCCAGAACAATGCTCCCTCTGACTTATCATCCCTCTTTTACCCGAGATTTGCAAGTCTCATTCCTGTGGAGCACGAGATTATCATCTCTTGTAAATTCAGTCCCGCAGTCAGCGCACGTGTACTTCTCCACGTTTTCCCTCTTCTTGTGAGTTACGTTGTGATGCCGCTCTAGATCTTTCTCGGCAGCGAATCTCTCTGTGCACTGGCTTGGAAATGCTCCGGGCATGTAAAAAAGACACTGGTAAGGCCTTAGGTGCTTGTCTCGGTGTCTCCTGGATTGGGTCACTTTATGTTATGCGTTGCTGCGGCCCATTTGAATTACTCACGTAAGATCTGCAGGCCGTTGGAATACCTCTCCACAAGGCTCGCACACATGTTGGATCTCATATGCCATTTGAGTAGCCCAGGCCGTTGCCTCTTCATCAGTCATAGCTAGTCCCACCGGAACCTGCGAAAGCCGCTGATCAAATTGGGGGTTTCCCCATGGCACCAATCCACCCTCAGGAGCCTAGAGCCCTGAAGATGTGGTTCCGGAAGGATGGCCAAGAGAGGCGAAGAGATGACCTTGGATAGTTGGGGCAAGCCTATGGGAAGCATTGGGTAAACCGAATGTGCTATGGGATGCCGAATCAACTTGAAATTCGTACAAGTATAGGTCGTCCTCAGGGATAGCCACCAAGTGCCACGCTGTGCTCAAAGAATACGAATTGTC